CCTAATTTGTTGCGCATAGCTTATCCTAAAATCTTTTAGACAATATGTGCAGCACATTATATAGACCTCATGCTTGAGGCTCTTGGCGGTTTAACCGAGATATCAGGTGCAGTGAAGAAGGCAAAGTCAATTACAAATTTCATTTATGGCCACCATCCCACCCTCAGCATGATGCGTAGATTTACAAGGAAGAAAGAGATTGTGAGGCCTGGGGTCACAAGATTTGCGACCTGGTACTTATGCCTAGATAACATACATTTGAGGAGAGTGCAATTAAGGAAAATGTTTACCTCGGATGACTGGAGAGCATGCAAGTGGTCCAAGGATCAAGTTGGGAAAAAGGTGACAGATATTATCCTTTCTAAGGCTTTTTGGCGAGAGGTGAAGGGCCGCTCTTAAGGTATTTTTTCCTCTTGTCAAAGTCCTTCGCATGGTTGATAGTGACAAGCCTTATATGGGCTATATATATGAGGCCATGGAGAAATGCAAGAAAGAGAGCTCAAAATTTTGATGATGATGAGAACTGTTATAACCCTGTTTGGGAGATTATTGATGAGAAGTGAGATACGCAGCTACATCGGCCATTGCATGCAGCTGGTTATTATTTGAACCCAGCTTTGTTTTATGTTGACAAAGATATACACACAAATGATACAATTATGATTGGATTTAATAAGTCTGTAGATGTGCTAGTCCTTGATCCTGATATCCAAGATATTATATGCGCTGATGAGCTGATAAATTACAAGTGCTCATTAAAGTCTTTTGGGAGTCCAATGGCAATGAGGTAAAGGGCCAAAATTGATCCAAGAAGTAATAATATTTTTAAGCTCATCAAGTTCACGTAATCAAGTTTCTTTTATAATTCTATTATTTATTTATGATTTTATTATATATCTTTGCAGCCAATTGGTGGAGCCAACATGGGTGTAGTTCTCCAAATTTACAAAAGTTGATCATTCAGATCTTAAACCTAACCACTTCCTCATCCGGTTGTCAGCGCAATTGGAGTGCTTTTGAAGGGGTAAGGTCGTAAAGGTAATTTGTATAATTGTATTAATAATACATGAACCATAGACTTTAATTAGTTTCATTTGATTTTGTTAGATTCATACAAAGAGAAGGAACAAGCTTGAATCAAAAAGTATTTAATGACCTAGTCTATGTCAAGTGTAATCGATTCTTGAAGGACATGTTTGATAAGAGAGACCCCATTAGATCAAAAAATATGGACAACGCTATGGAGCGGTTAGTTGATGATGATGAGTCGAGGGGTATAAAGGATTGACATGGGACATGGTTATAGATGCTTCAGGGACATCAGCTGACCTTCCTAGGGCCACTAGATCTTCTGCACAGAGAACGAGGGTGGAGGAAGAAAAGGCAGATTCAGAAGAGACAGATGAGGACGACCAATATGTCGACGAGGATGACAATTCCGATGAATATGATACCAATGCAGCTGACCCTAATTTTTCTGATGATGAATGATGAATGTTGAATAATTATTAAACTTTGAACTTTGATTGAACTATGAATGGTAAATTTTAAGTTTTAATTGGATATGGATTATGGACCGACTTATGGTTACTTATGGAGTGTGCTCTAATTTGTACTATACTTTGAATTCTGATGTGCCCCAAATACCTAATTCTTATATTTTATACAATATATAACTGTAGAATCCTTTTTGGATTCAACTGGGCTGCCCAGATTCTAGGCGCAAAATGACCCCAAACATGCAAAAAAAAAAGGTCGTTTTTATGAATGTTCCTAAGCACCCACCTAGCTTGCTAGGGAGAACGCCTAAGAACTTCCGCTCGGGAAGGCCTGCCCAAGCGTAGGCGAGATAGCCTCCTAGGCACTGGGCAAGCTGTTTTTTCAAACAATAACATAAGGAGGTACAATTCACAAAGGAGTGCCCCAAACCCACAAGGATGCGAGCATCCAATACAGGATCACAGGATCATGATTATGACAGGTACATGGAGTGATGTGAACAGAAGTGTAATGAACATAAAGGTGAATTGTCCTTTAAGGACACGAATTCTAAAGTTTATTGATGCATTTGATAATGTACAAG